TGGGGAACCCTTAATCCTACCCAGAACTTTGCCAAACCAATCAGTAGACGAATTTAGTAATCACACACCTTAATCCCAGCATCACACATTCTAGATCCAGCCACCTCTGAAAAAGCCCCATGTATGACCTTATGAGACTTTGAGGGAACATCTGGGCACAAGCTATAGTACCCTCCTGTCTCCATCTCCTGCTGGGATAAACACAGGACACCGTGCAGAGCTCTACCCACGTTCATTCATTCATTCACTCATTTAGTCATTTATTTTTGGTGTTAGGGATTGAATCTAGGATCTCATGCATGCTAAGCACGTGCCCTACCACTAAGTTACACCCTCAGACCTTCTATATTTTTTAAAAGGGCCCAGAACTGCTACTATGTTAATATGTACACTTACGTGTTTTTCATTCAGCAATGAATGTACATACTATGTAGCTGGTGTCATTCTGGGGACTGAGAATAGAATTAGAACAAAGATAATATCTAACCTCATGGACTTGACCCTGGAAAGAGGAAGGGACAAACACAGAAGTAACAATCTCATCTTGGAGTATGTTCCCAGGCTGATGGGATCAGAATGACCAGGAGGGGAGGGCAATTCCCTTGCCACGGCAGTCAGGAAAGGTCTCTTGACAGAGGTGACATTCCTGGTGCTCAGACCTGAAGGAAGAAAATATCTGGCCCTGCAATGAACTAGGGTGAGGCAGGAGAATGACAAACTCAAGCCCAGCCTGGGCAACTTAGTAAGATCCTGCTTCAAAACAAGAACTTTTTTTAAAAGGCTGGGGATGCACCTCAGTGGTAAAGCACCTGTGTGAGGCCCTGGGCTCGATCCCCAGAACAGGGGGAAGAAGAAACAGGAAATGGGGCACAGTGGGAGGGAAAAGAGAAGGAGGAAGAAAGGAAGGCAGAGGGAGAGAGATGGGGATGAGAGGGAGAGACCCCTGCGTTACTGAATAATTAAAAGAGTAGTCACCAAAGGAGTCCCAGAGCAAGCTCTCAGGACCTGAGGGCTGACCGGGAGGCACTGTCAGCCCAGAACTAAGTCTGCTCACACCGTTCTCTCCCATCTGAACACCCCTCCCCTCCTCCAACCGGCAGGTTCCTTCTCATTCTCCACAACGCAGCTCCAAGGCCAAGGTCAAGAGCAAGACCAAGGCCTCCTCTAGGGTACACGGCCCTGCCCGCCTGCACCCCCACTCTGCCTTCACATGTCCACTGGTCCACTACCATCCACTAGTCCATCACCAGGCTGTTAGATCCACCTTCCAGCGACTCATGGACCCGCGAATGCTCAGAATGAAAGCACTCTCTCCTATCTATTTGTATGTCCCTAGCACCCAGTTCGAGGCCAAGTCCATGGCGGATGCTTGGTAAATACTTGGGACGTTAATAGAGAAGCTTTGGTCTTTGTCCCTGGGCCTCACATACTTCTCGTTCTAAAGCATATGTACTTCCCTCCACACCAGACACTCAGGGACCCACCCCACTTCAACCAGACCCCAGGCTCTGCGCAAACTCTGGGCACTGAGAGACCATGGGAATCTTCTACCAAGTGAGGTGCTCAAAGGAAGGTAAGGGCCCATTGGGTGTGGTCCACACTAGCATTTCCCAAACTGGAGTTTCTGGAAAGGTGAAAATAAAGAAGCTTTGATAAGAAGTCCTTCAGGGTAGCCTGGGCTGGATGAACATTGCCTTCTTTGCTGCCATGTGATATAGCGGAAGCTCTGCAGTGAGGCAGCCTAATGAATTCACTCTTCCCCATGCTGCGTCCGCTCAGAATGCTTTTCCTGTGTTGTGCCAACTAAACCCTACAGAATAACAAGAGCACCAGCTACTTTTGAATACCTACTGTGTGCCACCATGAGCATTTTCTCACTCTTTTCACTTTGCAGATAAGGAAACTGAGACCTAGGAAGGTTTGATACCTTGCCCAGTATCTAAGAGACCGGTCCTCCAGAAGCCATAAAGTAGACCTGGCAGTCCAGCGACAGCCTCTAACTCTAAACCACTGCTCTCTGCAGCACCCAGTACAGTCCTGTGACCGCAGCCGGGATACACAGATGCAGGAATATGAAAGTATGGAAAAGTTTAAGTACTAATATCATTGTACTAATATCACATCTTCAGGGGATTGGTTCCAGACTCCCAGCCCCTGCCAATACCAAAATCCAGAGACGCTCACATCCCACATATAAATGTAATATGATTTGCATATAACCTATATATATATATCCTCCTATTTATTTTCAATCACCTCTACATTACTTATGACACCTAATACAGTGAAAATCCTATGTAAATGGTTGTTATAGTGCATTGTTTAGGGAATAAAGCAGAGAAATTGTATAAGTTGTATACAACTGTGTAAGTTCAACATATGTGCAACCATCATAGGTGCTATGGTTTATATCTTGAATGTCCCCCAAAGGCCCATGTGTTGAAGGCTTGTCCCTAGGCCCCTGGCACTATTAGGAGGTGGGAGAATCTTTAGGCAGCTGAGCCTAGAGGGAGGAGGTTGGGTAACTGGGGGGAATAATTTTGAAAAGAACATTGAGACCCCAATATCTTCCTTTCTCTTTCTTTTTGATTTCTGCCCACTATGGGGTAAACAGATCTCCTTTTACCATACACTCCCACAATGATGTACTCTGCCACTACACACCCAAAGCAACAGGGGCAAGAGACTGTGGATTAAAATCTCTACAATGGGGTCTGGGGGTTTAGCTCAGCGGCACAGCACCTGCCTGGCAAGTGCAAGGTCATGAGTTCGATTCCTGGTACCGGAAAAAAACAAAACAAAAAAAAATAAAATAAAATCTCTACAATGATGGACCACAATAAATCTCTTCTGTTACTAAGTTGGTTATCTCAGGTGGTTTGTTATAGTAAAGCAAAGCTAACATAACAGGCCTAAATACGTAGCACATGCTTAGCACCAACGCATTATTGTTTTCCAAACGTTTTTGATCTGACATTGGTTAATTCCATGGGTGTGAAACCCGCAGACACAGAGGCCCACTGTACATCCATTCTTCGCCTCTCTGGGCTCTTGTCACAGATCCACTATAAGTCAAGTTCATACCATGAAACAATCAAATATAATGCTGTTCAGGGTATGGACTCAAGTCCAAAGATAGATTACAGATCAAACAAGGGCTATAATTCAACACCAACTCCAGGCATTTTGTGTTTCTCTGATACCTGTTTATATTACAATTTTTAAAGGTGACAGTTTCTGGGGGTATTTACGGGGCACACTGAAGGCTAAACCATGCCTTACGTTTGATCTGTCACTCAGGTTGCTAAATTCAAGTAAAAAGGGGCCAGTAAAATTTAACCCTTACGTTTATGGCCAACTGATTTTAAACAAGGGTACCAAAACAACTTTAGGGGGCAACAGTGGTTGAAAAACAAGTGATGCTGGGACAGTTGAATATCCACACGCAGAACAATGAAGCAGAACCCTCACCTTATACCATACATAGAAACTAACTGAAGACAGATCATAGATCTAAACATAAGAGCTAGAAAATAAATAAATATAAGAGCTAAGATTAAAACTCTTTAAAGAAAATACAGGAAAAAATCCTTCTGACCCCAGAGTAGGCAATGGCTTCTTAAATATGACACCTAGTACAACAACAACAAAAAAAGATAAATTAGACTTCAAAATCGAGAACCTTTGTGTTTCAAAGCATACAGTCAAGAAAGTGAAACAATGTATAGAATGAAAGAATATACTTGAAAATCATGTATCTGGGAAGATACCTGTATCTATAGAATATATAAAAGTTACAATTTTTTCTTTTTTTGGTACCGGGAATCAAACTCAGGGGGAATCAAACTCAGGACCTCATGCTTGCCAGACCGGCACCATGCTGCTGAGCTACACCCCTGGCCCAGTAACTCTTACAATTTAATAATAATAAGGGAATAATTAATTACCCAATTGAAAAAATGAGCAAAGGCTATAAATACAGTAGTACCTTGAGTCAAGAACTTAATTCTTTCCACAATTCTGGTCACAAATTGAACTGGACAAGAAACAAATATGCAAATGTTCGTAGCAACACTATTCACAATAGCCAAAGCATAGAAACAGCCCACATGTCCATCAGTTGTGCTCTATGCATATAATGGAATATTATTCAATAATAAAAAATAAGTATTGATAGATAATCCAACATGGACAAATCTTGCAAACATGAAAAAAAAAATCAGACCCAAAAGACATTGTATGATGCTATTCATATGAAACATTCAAAACAGACAAATCTAAAAAAAAAAAAAAAAGAAGGAAATTAGTGGTTACCAGGGGCTGCACAAGCAGGTCAAGAACAGGTGGTGACTGGTAATGGGTATAGGATTTCTTTTTCAAGCACCTGCTTGGCAACCACAAGGTCCTGAGTTCAATTCCTGGTAGCAAAAAAAAGAAGGATTTCTTTTTCAGGTTGATGAAAAGGTTCTGAAATTACAAATAGCAATGGCTGCACAAGTATATACTGAAACAACTGAACTATACACTAAAAATGAATGAATTGTACAGGACAAGAATTATACGTCCATAGCGCTGTTTAAAACATTCTAAGGAAAGCACATCATATAATTGCTAGTGGGTTTCAACCGACTGTGTGTGATGCTTAGAGTGAAGCTTCAGCCCACAGACCCTCTCATCTCACTAGAGCAAAACTAGAATTTCACCACCAACCACCTCCTCCTGCCTGAACAGCCCTTTGCAAGTATGGGCTCCTATTCAGCCTCTTCCCTGCAGAACTCAGCACAACCTTCCCGCATGCTTCTTGGCTTAATACTTGCTCCCCTGCGCTACAAACCTGGAACCCAAAGACCCAGCTCTGCCACTGCTGGCAAGCTGGTGCCCACAGCCTCTGTCCAGCAGGGATTTTACTGGGGTCCTCAATGAGCAGCCAGGCTGGCCACACACAGGACTGGCGAGAGAGGGGAGGCAGCGGGAAGGAGCAGACACAAAGACAGACTTACTTCTGAAGGTTGGCCATCTGCTTCACAGCTTCCACAGCTCCTGGCAGAGGCTCGAGTTCAAAGAAGAAATTCTTGGACTCCCAGATGCTGATGGCCTTCTCCTGAGAAGTTAAGAGAAGCACATTACCACTAGGGCCCTCAGAGTCTCGCTGCCCTCAGCTGGGGCAGCCTGTGTGACGTGGAAGGGCCACCCACAAGAAGGGGGTGTCTACCTGCCCCTCGTGCCCACACCCTCCGGAGGATATACTTCCTACGGGGAGCACACAGAATCTGTGTGCGCTCTGGCCCTTTCCAAGAAGGCTGTGCCTTCTGTTAGGATCCAGTAGAGACCAGCTAAGGTGTCAGGGTCTTTGAGGGAAGACATCAGGTACTATCTGGGACCTGAGGTCAGTCATCACGGCCAGGCATTTGCTGGACTTGAGGTCAGTCATTACGGCCAGGCATTTGCTGGACTCTGATGGCCAAAAGCATGATGGAGTCCTGCAGGAGGACCAGGACTGCCCACAGAAGGAGAGTGGTTAGGCTGGAAAGCTGGAGTGGCTCAGAGACACCTGAGTGCACATAGGAGGGTCACAAGCAACAAGAAGAAAGGGGTACAGGTAAACTGACAATTGGGAGAGCCCCAGGCTCCTCCCTACATCAGCCAGAACAGTACTACTTTTACACAGTTTATGTTCGGGTGCCGGTACTTTAAAAGAGAAAGGATTCTGCTGATTTTAAAGTTTGAAAGCAAAACGCTAGACCCTCATTTTACCTACGAGAAAAATGAGGCTCAGAATGGAGAGGCTATCTGCCTACCACCACACAGTGAAACAGTGGCCAGGCTGGCGGCAGAGCCCCACCTCCCCACTCCCAGGCTAGCTCCTACCCTCCGCATGTTGCAGGGCCAAAACTGAGTTTTCAGAATGCAGCACCCTCTCGGCCTTTTGGCTAAGATCAAGTGTAGAATATAGCACCTCTTCTAGGCCAGGCACGGGGAAAGTGACATATCTCAGCCTTTGAGGAGTGGCGTCCTAAATCCCATATATGGCGTTCACAAAGTACCTCTGCCTGGTCAAGAGATCGCACCAGCAATACTTCTGTAAACTCTACACAGCTAAGCAAACACAAGCTTCTTTCTAAAAGACATCCTCTCACTTGACCCTCACAATCCAAAAGTGCTGAGCATTGGTACTCTCAGTTCACAGAGAAGGAAGTTTTTTTCCAAGGCTTCTTAGGGATGATGCTGTCAGGACTTGAACTCACACACAGACGCAGTGTAGACAGATGGAATGGAAAACCTTGGCCCTTGCTATGTGACCCTCTGTTGACCACCCATCAATGAACCTCTCTCCTCGTCTACAGAATGGAGACACGAGCCTCACCGTTCCTTACAGGGTCTTCATGAGGATGTAATGGACACTGAGCCCCTGGCACTGCACTTCGGATATAATGACAACATCTCAGCATGCCTCTCCCTGACACTAACTTGCTGTGAAACCCAGGTCAGGACAATTGCTCTCTCTGGGCTCCGTTTACTGTCCTAACAGTTTGAGATTCTAAGTTAATTAAGATAAGCTTTTCTTTCCACCTCTGCCCGGCTTACCTCTGCAAAGTAATGTGAAGAGCAAAGGGAATAAAGACAAATAGTCAGTCTTCCGTATCTGCACGTTCTGCGTCTCTGGATTCAAATTGTAGATTGAAAATATTTGGGGAAAAACTGTGTTGGTACTGAACATGCACACACCTTTTCCCTTGTCACTATTCTGTAAATGATGTGACAATTTACACAGCACTTACATTGGATTGGGTAATATAAATTATCTAATGGCAATTTAAAGCGTACAGGAGAATTTCATAGGTTACATGCAAAACATCATTTTATAGGAGACCTGAGCATCTGTGGACTTTGGTGTCCAGGAGGAAGGAGTACTAGAACCATCCATCCCAGGTACCAACGGACAATTCTATGTTTTATAAAGTGGAAATGCCTATATCCATAAGTGGGATTGCTTTCTTTAGTTTTAATCACAGACACTTAGCCAACTTGGCCTCAGAGAGACCCAGAGACACCCTGCTTGGGAGGAGAAAGAAGTAGCAGAAATCAGCAGATTGCTCCTGGAGTACCCTCCTTTCTGCCCCGTGAGCGCTGCTCCTCTGCCTTGTGCTTGGAAAACGGGAATTTGCTCCCTGAGACCTGGAGTCTGGATCTCTGTGCAGAGGCTGTAAAAGCTACTGTGCTTTTCAGAGGTGGGGTGGACTTAACGTCATTCCACCAAGACACTCCCCGGAGGAAACAAGGTGCCCCAAATCCCGATGCTGGGCACTCATCTCTACAGTGAGGGGCCTATCACGGAGGTGCAGGAGTGACATGGCTTGAAGTTTTTAATTAGGTCTCAGCACCAGGAGAAACCAGGGTACACAGCTTGGTGGAAGTCACCCTCGGAAGAGCCTGGGGTGAGTGAAAAGAGACGGCCCTTGATTTCTTCTTTCAACACCTGTCCCCCAGCAAACCAAATTATTGCTGAAGTGTCCTGCTGAAGTTCAAAGAAATGTTGCTCAGAGCAGACAGAGAACAGGACTCCGGGTAAGGAGAGCTAAGTGTGCTTGGCAGGCAGCCAGACCCGTCTGAATTCTGCTGGGGCCCTTTACTATCACAGGAACTGGAGCAAGAGTCTTCCTCTGCAAAGAGGAGATAACAATGCCCACTTACAGAAGAGAATAAGGCAATGAATTTAGAGTTACAGAAATCCCGAATACCCCTCCTCCTCCTCCTGCCCACCATCAAACCTTCTGCCAGGGGCCCCTGCACTGGGGGCCAATCAAAGGATGTCAGAAAACCTCCAGCCTCTAGTTTGCGCATGGCGAAAACCCTTGTTCCTTTCACAGTTTACAAGCCGAGCTCCCTGCCGGGATATGTCCCTCTACCCATGCAAGGCACGGGGGTCGGGGAGGGAAGTGGGGCGTTCAACAGTGCCAGCGTCAGAACAGGCCCGGCTGGTCCCACCTCGACCACCGACTCCCTGTGTGACACCCTCTCTGCGCCTCCAATATCACTGGGCCTCCAACATCAAGAAATAGGATTTTTTAAAAAAGGATAAGGACACCTGTCAAATCCATGGGGCGGGGCGTGGGGAGGGGGGAACGGCCGTGTTATCGTGGTAGGGGTGAAAGAGGGCTTAATTTAGAGTGTGTAGTTTATTCCTTAAAAATTTAACGAACGATCTGAGGCCAAATATACCACAAATTTAAAGCCGGCCGAGAATAAGAGCTCGGTACAGTCGCGATCAGCAACCGGGCGCGGGGTGCGCGCCGCCAGGACCCCGCTCTGCGAGGACCGCCTCGGGACCGGCGCGCTGACCCCGCCAAGGTCGCCGGGCTGCCG